CATCTTCCTCTACTTTATATGGGATGCTGCCACAGCATGGCTTGATAAGCGGTGTGCAGGTCCGCACCTGGGATCCGAACCGGAGAACTTAACCACTGTGCCACTGAGCCAGCCCCAAGTGGTGCTTTTCTAAATTCATCATTTTTTCTACACTTACTAGTTGAGGTTCTATTAGTCGATTGTAAGGAAAAGCTTTCCCTTCTCTTCCTTTACTCATTGAGTCATTTATTTATACCATGTGACCCACGGATTCCTGTGTAACCCACTGGTTAAAACCCGTTACTACCATCATTTATTTCATGTCCACATTGTTCCACATCTGGCTGGTGGGAGTCGTCCTTTTGACACATCCGCTTCATCCTCTGAGGCCTTCCTAACCTTCGGGCACAAAGATGCTCCAGGCTCATCCTGCACTGCCGAGATCTGGTGCTGGCTGGGCCCTCTCAGTGGATGGTGCTGGGGTGGGAGGGGTGGGATATATCCACACATACTCCTCCTCTTGGTAAGTGTATATGTGCACGTACACACGTGTGCATGTGTGTGTAAGTACATGTACATATATAGAGTCCACATAAATCTATACACTGTATCCATACGATATCTACACACCATTTATACATACACATGAGTCTCCTTGAGTTCATAGTGAGTCTTCTAATTCCAATCTCAGACCTCAGGGTTTGTTCTTGTCGTCCCCCTTCCCACATGGACACCCTCCTTCTCCAACAGGGAGGAACCTAGTTCCTGTTACCTTCCACGTATTTATTTGCTTGGTCTTGGAAGACTCTGAAATTTGTTTAAGAACTGGTGACCCACACCACGACAGAACAAGCCGGAGGCTGGAGTTTGGTGTCTGTGTAGAGTTCTTTTCGTCTTTGACCTGAGACGATGGAGTCAAAGTGCTTTGTGCAAAAGCCGTTTGGGCTCATTCTTTTTTTCACATCAGCGTGCTTATGTCATTCCTTCGAAATATATGGAGTCGCTTATTACTGCTTACACTCCATTTTAGGGTCCTCCTCCCATTTTTGTGGATTCTCTTCTATTATTTTTTGGTACATAAAACATTAACATGGTTCCAAAAGGCAAAATCATACAAAGGTGTCTCAAAGAGGTCACCCCCCTCCCTCCCACCCCCCAAAGGATGTCAATCTTGCTAGTTTCTAGGTCAGCCTTCTGGGGTATCTTTTTGCAAAAATAAGCAGATGTATGTGCATTTTTTATTTCTCCTACTTCACATTTCTTGCTGAAGGGGGACTTTTTCCACACCAACCACCACCAATTCCCCAGCACCAGCTGGGTGTCCTACAGTTTGGTCCTGTTCTGACACTGACTACTCAGAGTCCAAGCAGACCCCACAGGTTAAGGCCTCAGTCCCGCAAGGCTGCTCCCGCCTCAGATGCCGTCACAAGGATCGGGGCCCTGGGCCCGCCCGCAGGACAAGGTGTGGGGGTGGGGGCTCAGAGCCTCGGTGGCCTCTCCTGGCCCACCCTCTCAGCACCAACCTGGAAGATCTCCAGACCTCCTCCCTCAAGTTTCTATAACCCAACGTGCAGCCCCCTCCCCACCCAGAGATCAGACTAATAATGCTCTGGTCTTTGTGGAGACCAGCCCTCCACCCAGGGTACCTAGGGGCCCCACCCTGAGTGGTCTCATCAGCATAAAGTCAGATGTGGTTATGAGAAACAAAACACACCTGTCCCTCAGGAAGTCCCCAGGGTTTTAGAAGCTCGAACAGGAACCCGGGACAGAGGCCCAATGTATTTTTTATTTCACCACATTCACTTAGCATACGCTGGGGGTCGTTCCGCATCCGTGCACAACGTGCTCGTGCTGGTGCAGACTCCCCTCTTTCGTTGTCACGGTTGCACAGCAGTCCTTGGCAGGTGGACCCTGTTCACTCACATCCACCCATCCCCACCACAGAGGGGCATTTATGTTGTTTGCAGTATTTTTGCGGTGCAAACAATGCTACACTGAATAATTTATGCATATGTATTTTTTATTGTTGGAGATTTATCTTTAAGGCAAATTCACAGCAATGGAATTGTTGGGTTAAAGTTTTTTAATTTATAAAATTATACAATTTGATAATTTATAATTATACATTTAAAACCATCTTTCTCAAGCTTTAAGACTCAATTAGAAGCTTATTTATAAATC